AAAGCAATCATCATATTTCAAAGAAAAAAAATCTTTAATATAACAGATATAGATACGCATTATACTGAGGGGGTTGTAGCTTACTATGTGAATTTAAATTGTACAACAGTACTGTCAATAAGAAAATAATTTTTCAGCTGTACAATAATTTATCCGTAATTGGGTTTTTCGCAACTTCATGTTCCACGGGTGTTGTAATGGGCCTTTTTCTTTCTTCTCTAATACTCTTTCATGCTTTTTTTTTTCATTTTTTCTATCTTTTCATTTGTAGCTTTAACAATTCTATTTTCTCAGGTGTATCAGTTAATATGCGTGATGCGCGATCAACCATTTAATAAAAAAAAATTTTTTTTAAGGAAAAATTAATAAATTAATTATGGAAAATTAAATAATGATAATTTTAAATGCATACATATTTTTTAAACTTATAATATCATGAGGATAATAATCTTAATACTATGTAGGGGCACTTGTGAACTGTTCACATCTGCCCCAGATGTTTTGTTCACAAGTGCCCCCATCATCCTTCTTAAACCTAACTTGAAAAATAATGAACTTTTAATTGAGTAAAAAAAAAGAATAATTGTCATAAACTTACCTGAATGTTCATATAATGATCTGCAATAGTTAATTTTAGTTTATTAGTTGATTTATATTATGCTTTCACTTGGAGAAGCGAGCGATTATAATATATGCAACACCAGCTGATACAAAGAAATTGTCAGAATAGACCAACAAAATGTCTCATTGCTCTGAAAGTTTCTCAGAGAGGTAGGACTAGTACTGCCATCAATTGAAAATTTTTCGAGATTTTTTATTTCAAATCATATTGGTAAAACATACCATGTTCACATGTGCCCCCTGTTCACATGTACCCCCCTCTCCCCTACATATTATTTTATTTCACATTCAAAATTATTATCACAAACTATTTAACACAGTGTATTATAGGTAAGTAAACAACTTTTAAACTAATTTTTTCATTGTGTGCCGTCAAATTTCGAAATTGTTAAAAGTGTGCCGCCCCCAAAAAAAGGTTGAGAATCACTGATCCAAACATAAATCTTAACCCGTATTTATCTAAAGATAAATTTTAAGGAATCTGAAGAATTGTAAAATAATGCGTAAAAATCTACGGAACAACATATGAAAATGTGGCTGAGGGTTCGAATCCCGCTCTGGGCATGGATGTTTCTCTCTCTATGTGTTGTTCTTTGTGGCAGTGTGGCGTGGGTAATGTTGCTCGCCTCCGTGACTTTGGTTCACAGGTGCTCCCTGGGTAACGTGAAATGAGTAACAATTCCGGCATCTTCTAAGGCAGTGTTTCCCAAAGTGTGGTACGCGTACCCCAAGGGGTACGGGAACAGTTTAGCAGGGGTACGCGTTCTTATGCGAAATATCTTGCAACAAACGAAAATTACAAAAAATTTTATTTAAAAACAAAGCTAGCCATGAAAATTTACGATTACGTATTTTTCTATTGGATATTTTTTGCAGAGTTAACAGTTAATAATTAGTGGTGTCAACAGCCAGTTGTGATTTTTACTTTTTGTGCGATTTTTCATAGTAAAAAATTCATTCATTTTTTTATTAGGGGTACTCAGCGATACGAAAAATTTAGAAAGGGTACACAAAAGTCATAAGTTTAGGAAACACTGTTCTAAGGCGAAGAATAATGTTCAGTGCCTGCCATTTGAAAAAAAAAAAAAAAAAAACATCTGATCATTTTCCCGACAAACCAATTTTCGACCATGCACATTTGCCTGATAATTTATTTTCCCCGACACGTACATTTTCCTGACAGGGATGGCAAGCAAAAGATTCTTTGTTGCCAACTGTTACTGCTACTTATAGCAAGAAAGTACAAACGATGTTTAATAACTGTTTATGTAGTAATTGTTTCTGTTCTAAACTTTACCCTATGCTCAATAAAGAACTTAGGACCTTCCAGAACTGTAGCTAGCATTAAAAAATAGCACTGCCGAACAAATAAGTTGTCTGGCTAACGTATCGGAATATGAGCTGTCAAGCAAATGTACCTGTCGGGCAACCAATTGTCGGAAAAATATACCAGACTCGAAAATACTATGTATATTGTTATTACACGTACAAGCATCATTCTTTATCGATAATACTAAATCGACGTTTCACAGTAAACGTAACATTTCGAATTTATTATTTTTATAATAAATTGCTAAAATGAATGTTAAATTTGTTATCAAAGCACCATGGTGAAATAAAAACATTATAGCATATTTTCGAGAAGCCAAAATTATGTTTATATTTCATACTTTTATTTTTCACCCTTCCTAATAAAATTTGAATTATCACTAAATCAACTAAATAAATAGGGATTACAAATAGCACTGTCAATTACATTGTTTAAACAGCTTTTACTCGAAAGGTTGGTGTCGCAAATGTCATGTTTGATGGAATTATATAATCTGTTTATTAGATTTTGTAGTTGTTGAACATGTTATACAAGGTTTTGGGATTACAAATACGTCTGCAAGTATCGATGGCCATCTGCGTGTTCAAATTAAAAACAATCGAAATGTATAATTATTAATTATGTATATCGTTTTTCATTAATATCTCAGGAATTTAATTGCATCAACATCGTGAATAAAACAACGCAATTTTTACACCAAACAATTTTAAAATAATAACATTTTCATAATTAATTATTTGTAAAACATTAAGATAATCCGTTTGTTTTAATCTTTCAGCAATCACAAATATTGGTTATTTGGTTTTCCGTACTTGTGAAAAGCATATTTTTTTCTTCTTTTCTTTACTTTTTAATCTTTCTTGCGATTTTTTTAACGACATTATTTCGTTTTTATTTGCTTCCTCGGATATTTCCTAATTTAGTGAAACTAGAGAACTGACTCTGTTCCAAAATTATTGTCTTTATCAATAAAAAATATTTAGAAATGATTAAAATAGAAAAATGAAGAAATTTTCATGATTAAAATAGAAAAAATCATTATTTAGTGAAAGGAGTGAGCTTTAATCATCGAAATATTTAAGCGTTGTGAAGAAACTATATTAGTTGAAAATAGAAATTTTAAAAAATCTATCAGTTTATTTTGATCTTCCCCTACTTTTAATAACAATCTGTTTTAAAATCTGTTTTGATACTTTGAACAATATGTTTGTTTTAAAATCTGTTTGTTTCGATATTTTTAATAACAATCTGTTAGTTTTTAAAACGGTTTCAACACTACAAATAACAATTTGTTTGTTTCAAAATCTGTCTGTTTCAGTACCTTTAATAACAATCTATCTGATTTAATCTTTCGCCACATGATAGAAAAAAACCAACAAAAAACTGGTACATGTAAAAAAAATCCGTTTTTTCGTAATTTTTTAACTATGTTCTTCTGTTTATGTTTTCCATGATTTTTCTCAATAGAGTGAAACGGCAGTGAGCTGACTATGTTATTAAATTTTTGACTAGCTCAATTCTAAATCATACAGGAAAAATATTTTATATGAGAAATCTTTTTGTATAAAGAAACGGAAATTTTCATTAAAGTAAAAGGATATTATGAACTTAAATTCTCGAAAAATGCAAACGCCGAAAAGAAACGAAATTATTTATTTTAAAAACAAACATTTTGAAGTTAAATTTCTCAAAGATATAGAGAAACTGATAAAACTACTTGTTTCTACTCATTAATGAAGAAAATAGTTGATTTTGTACGTTTCTGAGAGCCTGAGAGTTTAATTACACATTTCTTAAACTTGCGAGCCATAAAAAGATTTAGAATTTGAATATTGGCGAAATTTAAAAGCTTATTTAACACATTTCCTACATAAAATTTTAAAATAGCTTATTGAATTTAAATGGGTGTATTTAAAAGTTATATTTCACTTAGATGTATATACATAAAATACCAATAATACAAAAAATATATGTATATACATAATACATAAAATGTATGCATATAAATGGTATTTATGGAAACGTACCATAAAATCATTTGTTACAGCAAGGATTACTAAAATGACACTTGGAATTACAAAGAACATTATTTCTCAAACAAAAAAATTTTTTGTTGACACACTGGCTTTACACGAATATTTTTTAAATCCCTGACCAGTACCTAAACTTTGAGCTGTAGCATATAGATTATTTTACACTTTAACGGGCTGCAGATCGTTATTCTATGAAATAACTAGTTAAACCATGAAATACAAGAGAGTTTTACACTTTAACGGACACGATCAGTTATTTCATTGAATAACTATAGGTATTCTATAAAATAACGGATCTCATACTTTTACGGTAGCATATATACATAGAGTACCAAGCATGCTTGGGAACTAAACACTGGGCGTTCCGCGTTCGGCTGACCTACCTGATCGGAACTGAGATGGGCACAGTAGGCGTTGGCCCTCTATGGGCTGTCGTCCTACTGAGTTTAGTTTATACACATAAAATGCAGATACACACGTGTTAAGTTTAATTTTTAATCTGTTTTTCGCCCAGTCGTAGCATAAGTTAACACAAAATTTTTTTTTAGACAAACTAAAACATAAAAATAGCATCAATAAACTAACTCAATTACTTATACAAATATTGAATGCAGATTATTAAATTTGAATGTACGTAATTGTAAGATTTTAACAACTTTCTTATGGAAAATTCAAATAAAGCTTATTAGTTTGAACTTATGTATTAAAAAACTTATTTTAAAATGTTTCTTACAGAAAATATGAATGTAACATACTGAATTTGAATGTATGAATTCAAAAGAATATTTTGTTCGAAGAAAAATGTATCTATATTTTATAGGTTATTAAACTTTAATAGGGAGAACAAGGTTGAAGTAACAACCTAAAACAAAATTTAAATAAAAGCTTACATGTATTTTGAACATTATTTTTTGGTTATAATTTTTTAATATGTGGTCGATATATAAACGTCCAATATAAAACAATATAAACAAATTTCCATTTTCCTACCCATAAACCGGTGATTTAGAGTCATCGTGACCAGATTTTACTGTCGCGAAGAAACATAAAATCTCTTTTAACCTTTCTTTTTCAACTTTTCAGGGACACAAGGACCACTAAAGTGAAGACCAAATGTTCTGAAATCGGACTGAAATTTGGCTTTTTCCCTTGGCGATATTTTCTGATATCCTTTCTTTTAACTGAATTCTTCTGCAAACAAACAATGGCCACACAATGTCAAGCGTGAAAAAATTAATTCTTTCATTCTCTTGTAATAGGAGTGTGCCAAGGCGATTTGCCGAGGAATTTCTTGATTAATGTCAATGTCTCTTCAGGAATATTCAGTGTCGAGTTTCTTTCAGATTTTAATCAAACTGATATTTGCCGCTCTGCTGGTGTCGGACATATAAAGGGTAAGTTTGAACCCCATCTTTAGATACGCATTTGCTTAAGGCTATTGTTTTTGAACGTTAAAGTATAGGAAAATATTGCGATTATATTTTCAATAAGAAATACGTAAAATTATCTTTCAAATTCGGTACATCTGTCGAATAATGTGTCGCTCAATAAATAAAAGTTTAATTTTATTTACCAAAGCAAATATTAAGATTCAAATTGAGAAGGCGATTCCGAAAAACCATAAATTATTGTATCGTTTTCTTTACCTAGGAAAAAATGATAGGAAACTGAGATACTTAAAATCTGTCTTATTTTATTCAATTTCAGAAAGCGATACCAAAATCGTTTTCATATAATTAAAAAATAGCGATTTTGATCAGTGTTATTTTCTTTTTAAATAGACGTTATAATTGGAATTCAGAAAGTGATTTCGAAAGCCACCCTTCCCCCCATTTATAGAATCTTCTTCTTATTAAAAATAAAATTTAAAAAAAAACTGTGAGTTTCGTATGTCTCATTTTGTTCAAAAATGTTATAACTAATATTTAGAAAGCAATTTTATAGAATCGTTTGCTCTGAAAGAAAAAAAAAGTAATTTTTACTCTCATTTTAAAATACTACTTTTGAATGAAGTAAAGACTTATTGAAAAGTTAAAGAGTGTTCAACAGCAATAGATTGTGAAATATGCAAAATTTAAAAACTAATTTCAACATCGCTTAGGAAATACAAGGATATCAACATCCAATATTAAGTGCTTAAAAAAAATTCTACTTTTTCTCAAGAGGTTTATTTTTAATAATCAAGCTAATATTCCGAGTGTTTTATGAAACCATTAAGCTAATATGATACAACGTTTAAGTAGAAGTTATTCAGAAAATATAGCGCTTTAAAAATATTTTTCAAATATTTTTAAAGCGCTTTGTATAATCAAAATAATATTTGATGCGATTAAATGGAAATTATATTTTTTTCGAACTATTTTCCAAGATTTTATTACCAACAAGTTAGTATTTCATACATTATAATGTGACCATCAAGTTAAGAGTTCGATATGTTTAAATTGAAGTAATTTTTAAAACGATATTTTGCTAACTTACTTAAAAATGCTTTTTATCATCAAGTTAGTATTTGATGCGATTAAATGGAACTAATTTTAGACATTTATTTATTTATTTTTTGAACATTTTTAAATCGCTTGTTATCAACGAGTCAGTGTACCAAACATTTTACAGAAACCATCAAGTTAGAGTTTGATATGTTTAAAGGAAAGTAATATAAAATATATATTTTTGATAACTCTTCCAATGCCTTTTTATCATCAAATTCAATTCGATACGTTTAAATGGAAATTATTAATAGAAAGAATTTTTGCCAGCTTAATCAAAGCATGTAGAAATTGAGATATTTGTAAATAAATTTTCAGGTACATCAAATTCTGATCATTAAGGAATTTATAATTTACTGAAATTTATACTATCTTATTATCATAAAAATTTTAAGAATTGATCTAAACTTATAATAACTGTGCAACTGATCAAAGAATCAACTCAAAAGAAAACAGGATTTCGAAGTTTATGATTGGAAGAAACTTATGGAGTATTTTTGGAAGAAAAGCAATTTTTATTTGAATAAAATGGAGAGTTAAACGAATGGAGAATTAACTTATAATATAAATTCTGCTTATTTATTCACAATAATGAGCTATTAAAGAAAAAGTAAATAAATATTACAGAAAATACAATAGTAATGTAAATACGGCTTTTAGCAGAATAAAAAACATAAGTGAATTTTATATTTAAAAAGCACTCCTAAACCTTAACACAGGTTTTGCAGGTTAAATTTAGTTTCGGCAATTTACAAATCTATATTCATATTATGTAAGATTTTTGAAAAAATCTTTAAAAAGAAATAGTCTATACTTTCATTCTCGGAATACCTATTTTCATTAAAACACTAAAATATTAAATCCCATGTATTTTATTAAATGAAGCGTTTATTGGTTTATATAATTATTATTTTTTTGTATACAATATGATTCTCCGTCATTTTTTAATTGAGAAAACTCTACACGTTTTGGAGAGTTTTAGCTGAACCACCAGCAGTTTCAGGCCCTGTGGCAATTGTCCTTGCCCCCCCTTTCTTTCAAGTACACTCTTAGGGTTTGCTGTAGGCAAAAACAGAGATCAAAACTGAAGCAGATTTTATAGAAATAAGAAAATACATAATATTTTTTCATTTATAAATTTTATCAAAGATCCCGTTATTTAACACGCTTAAATTTTCAATTCCACAAGCTGATTTAGAATTTGAATTTTATTCTGGTAAATTTGAGAAGTTTTGACTAGAAAAACTATCTTTTATGAGACAAGCCTTAATCCAAATATTTGAAGAACATAAAACTTTAAGTGAATACAGTTTAGCTATATATATCTAAATTCAATATTTTCACTAACCTTGCCACCGTGTAGTTCAAACAAAGAATAAAATAAACTGAGTGAACGAAATTACTTATTTGCTCACTGGTGTTCCTAAAATAATCTTAAAAATGGTGGAAGTTAAACAATAAAATAACATAATTTACAATTTTAGTGATGTTTACTTCAATGCGGCAAAAGTTGAGTATCGAATTAATTTATTAGATCTGAAAAATAAACAACATAATGTATACATAAGACATAGTGATAGCTACCTAAATGGCACAAATATTCATTCTCGAATTAAGATATCTGATTTTTAAATTAAATCAAAACATATAACAATAAAACAACGTTTAGTTACAGCTACCTAGACAGCAAAAATAATTCTAGGTGAACTAAAGTACTCGATTGGTAGATTAAATCAAACAATTTAATTTAAAATGAAAAGCTTCAGCTACTTAAGCATCACACACATTCCACATCGAATTAGAATATATGATAAACAGCACAAATATTCATTGAATTAAGATATCAGATAGCTAAATTAAATCAAAGCATATCATATTTTAGGATTTTAGTTACAGCTACTTAAACTGCATCAAGTAGTTCTAGGTCGATTTGAGTTACTCGATTGGTAGACAACAAACAATATAATTTTAAATGAAAGCTGCAGCTACTTAACCAGCATATATATTCTACATCGAATCAAAATGTAGGATAAATAGCATAAATATTCCTTATCGAATTGAAATATAAGATTGTTAAATTAAACCAACACATATCATAATTTAAAGTTTTAGTTACATAAGCAACACAGATACTCTAGCTCAAATTAAGTAAATAGATCGGTAAATTAAATCAAAACATTTCATGATTTGCAAAAATAACTACGACTTCTAAAGAACCACAAAGATACAAGATTTAGTTAGCTAACCATATAATTTTATCATTAATATTAATCATTTTTAATCAGCCATATTATTTAAATTAATCTTTTAACAAATTAAACCATTTTACAATACTCTTTTCAGTTAAAATAAGGTCTACTGGTCTATTTAACCAATACAAATATTTAGAATAGATTCATTCATCAAATCAATAAAACTAAACTATTACACTGTCTACTGAATCAGCAAATTATCATTCATTTTCATTTTGTATGTAGTCCAGTAGTAAAATTAAGCATTAGTAAATCTAGTAAAATTAGCATCCAGTAAGATTAGACATTCTCTTAAAAAAATTAAGTTTAATTAAATATTGAGGAACGAGACATGGTGGCTCAGGAATAGTGCGCTCGTCTTCCAATGAGGTGACCCGAGTTCGAATTCCAGCGATGGCTGGTCGATTCTAATTCCGCACCCGGTTAGTACCGACAACTGTGCTGACGTAAAGTATCCTCAGTGATAAATGGATCACGGGTTGGAGTAACCTTGCTATCAGGCTAACCATGGAAGGTTTTCGTGGTTTTCCTCTCCATGTAAGGCGAATACGGGTGAGTTCCATCGAAAAGTCCTGCACGAAGGCCACTTTCTCCTATTCCTCCCGTCATAAACCCAAAATTGAGTCAGCTGTTCAAAGATGGTTATAAAATAAAATATTGGGAAAACTTTAAAAATTACTGATTACTGGATAAATAAATTATTTGCACATTGTTAACAAACAAGTTATTAGTCAAGAAATTTATTGATTCCAAGATTTGTAACGAGTTTTATATGAAAAAATTCATAAGTATATAAGGAATGAATATTCATATTATAAAATCCATTCTTTCCTCGGAAATCCACAAAAAAAAAATTTTTGTTTTTAAGAATTAAAAATCATTGTTTTTGAGTTTTAAACAAATCATTTTGAAATTTTACGATTTCCTCTTTTATGATTTCTAAAAATTCATAAATATATAAGGAATGAATTTCATATTCATATTATAAAATCCATTCTTTCCTTGGAAATCCACAAAAAAAAATGCTTTTGCTTTTAAGAATTAAAAGTCATTGTTTTTGAGTTTTAAACAAAATTATTTGGAATTTTATGATTTCTTCTTATCATAAACATTTTTTCATATTTTTTAGAGATTTTTATAATAATCTAGGGTCGTTTTACGTTCTACATTAGAAGTTTGAAGTGCACATAAAAATTGTCTTTATAGAATATTTCTCTAATGAGTCTTGTTTGTCATAACATCAATAATATCCATTATTTGAAAATGGTTTTGAGACAATTTAAAATAACTACAAATTATTACTAGTTACCGTAATAGTTTTTAAATGTTAATATTTAACTGATTATTTAATTTGAATTGCAAAGCGATATGTTGGAATCTAATTTATGAGAACACTTACAACTTTTACAGATACATTCATTAAAAAAAATTGAATTGCAAATTCATCGATTAGTAAGAATTTTTAATAAATCAACAACATAATAAAAAAATTTATCATATCGGAACCACTAACAACTTAAAAAATGAAGTTAACTAATGCTTGTTTTCTACAGGAGGCGTTGAAAGATTTTTGCTTTGCAAAGTGGACAGTCATTAAAAAAGAAAGAGGCTGGGAAATTATAGTTTAAACATAAAAAAAAATACTTAAGGAAATAA